GGAGCTTATTAGAAAAAACAAAACAAACAAACAAACAAAAAAACCAGAGGCGGCTGGGTGGCTCAGTTGCTTGGGCGTCTGACTCTTGATTTCGGCTCAGGTCATGATCTCATGGTTTGTGGGTTTGAGCCCTGGGTCTGGCTCTGTGCTGATGGTGCAGAGTCTGCTTGGGATTCTCTCTCTCTGCCCCTTCCCTGCTCACTCGCTCTCTCTCAAAAATGAAATGAAATGAAATGAAATATAAAATACTCTCTTCTTTGGCCAAGGCAAGTCAGTTTCCTTTGCAACTTCCACAAACCCCCTCCCCCCCTGTGATCCCATCCAGTGATCTACCCCAGAGGCTCAAGGCTGGTCACTGTCTAGACTGCCCACCCCTCACCAAAGGTCAATCGCCTGCTTCCATTTCTGTCCAGGTTGATGCACGTATGTGGAACACCCAACTTCCTTCACCTAATACATCTTCCAAACCCACTAGGACCTCACCTTCCCCGATGTCTGAAGCTGGGTCCTCTCCCCCTACCCTGCAGGGTGGAGGTGAATGGTAGAGAAATTACTTCTGGATTATAGGCAGTTAATGGGCAAAGACTGTCTTAATCACCACTGGATCCCCTGGTCAGGTGCTCAATAAATCTTAGTGGAGTGAATGAATGAATGAACACAGTAGTTACTGGAAGGTTCATACACAGCTCCCCTGGACTTGAGTGAGGACAACAGGGGTCAGAAAAGAATGGGGCTGGGGACTTGTCCTGGGGAAAGATCACTGGAGCCTGGGCGAGGGGCAGGTACTCACGCTGAGTATGTCCTGGTCCGTTTGGTGGGCAGAGGACTGGGCAGGTCCCGAGATGAGACACCTCCCCGCTCCCAGACCCTGCTGCCCTCCCGGTGGAAAGGGAAGGTGGGCCAGACAGGAGACTTGGGAGAGTGGAGTGGGGGCACTACTGGGGGTGACGTGGGCTCTGAAGTCATGGCGGATCCAGCAAGAGAGCCTGGTGGGCTCCCAGGCTCAGGGGCCGGTGAAGAACTCGGGCGTCCTTGCGGGCAGGGCCCGGCCTGGCCCTGCTCGGCAGCCGCACCAGCCACAGGCTCCGTCTGGAATGGGGAGAGAGAGGTACAGGTGAGTGTGGTCCAGGATGAGCAGATTCTAGACACCGGGCACAAGTCTGGAGCTCTGGGCCCGCTTGTGAATCCTCACACAGTGACTTCAGGACCCTGACTTAGGGTCATCACCAGGAAGACAAAACAGTCATCTAACCTTGCTATGAGCTGAATTGTTTCCCCTAAAATTCATATGCTGAAGTCCTAACCCCCAATGTGATGGTATTTGGAGATGGGGCCTTTGGGAGGTAATGAGGTATCGGTGAGGTCACAAGGGTGGGGCCCCGTGATGGGATTAATGCCCTTGGAAGAAGAGACTCAGAAAGCTTGCTTCCTCTTTGCCAGGTGACGAACACTGCCGGAAGGGGGAGGTCTACAAAACAGGAAAATGGCTCGCACCAGAAGGAGACCGTGCTGTGCCCTGATCCTGGGCTTCCAGCTCCAGAACTGTGAGGAGTAAATGTCTGCTGTTTAAGCCCCCAGGCTGTGGTATTTGGTCACGATGGATGGTGCAAGCTAAGGCTAACCTCAAAGTCCTTCCAGCTTGAAGCTTAATTCTCTCACTCTAGGGGTCCGGGAGGTGGGATGGGTAAGGTGACCAGTGATGGTCTGGAACATAGTTTCGCACAAGCGTCAGCAGCTTCAAATCCACAGACCTGGGTTTGAATCTCAGCTTTGTCGCTGTAACTTCGTGACTCCAACAGTTCCATCATGGTGGGTGGGAACGCAGGCTCTGACCCAGATGGGCTTGAATCCCTCCTCCTATACCTAACTGGCTGTGCAGCCTTTGTCAACACTCTTAACCTTTGACTCAGTTTCCTGCTCTGTAAAATGGGGATAGTGCTGGTTCTTACTTCATGGAGAAGGTTGCCGTGTGGATTTCATGACTCTCCACCTGCTTTGAACACCAAGAGTGGTAAGCTCTTGGGAATGCTGGTGATTTTTCCTTAGCCCCACTTTCCTCTGCTCCAAAATGATGTTGAAGATACTCACCATGCAAGGTTGCTGCGAAGTCCACAATTTAGTGTGTGTGACAGCGTCTGGCATCTCAGAGATGCCCAATAAATTGCTGTCATCAGTGCTGATCAGTAGAAATTCCCTCATCACCTGCTCAGTGCCTGGATGACCTTGAAAGAATGCATCCTCTATTTTCCTCTATTGGGAAAGAGAACACATTCCCTCTCTCCAGGGGTTGGGAAGTCTTAGGCCCCAAGAGACACTGCTGTGGAACCCTGGGAAGGATAGCTCAGTGGACTGAACCAGGCTGTTGGCCATGCCTGCGGCAGGCAGCCTGGGGGCCTGGGGCCAGGCAGGACACCCAGACCAGGAGAGCACGAGCACCCCAGCCCCACCGTGTACTAGCTGCTGACCTCGGGTAGCACTTCCACTGGCCTCAGTTAACTCATCTGTATAATGGATCTGATAAACACCACCACACTCCCTCACAGGCTATGGCCAGGCGTGGCTAAGCCTGAGGATATAAAGAAGTGCTCACAGTCCACAGTCATGTAGGAGGGAGGATAGCGAGGTTCTCTACTTCCTCACCCCTGTTCTTCACTACCTCACCCCCTCACCCAAAGGCCCTGGTGCCAGAGGTAAATCCCTGAGCCTCAAGCCTATTTCTGGCCTCCATCTTGCACCCCACCCCAGCCTAGAATTTCCAGGGAAGAGTTTAAGGCTCCTTAGGAGTCCAGAGTCCAAGGAGCCCCAAAACATGGCATGGCAGGGCTCTGGGAGGACTGAGGACTCACATCACCCAACAGCGGGGCAGGTCTCCTGGCCGCCGTTCAAGGTCACACAGCAAGCGGGATTTTTCTGGGTCAGGATAATGAGCTGTCTCTGCCGTCCCTAGGGGTGGAGATGCTCCTCCTGCCCAGCAGCCCCCATCCCCCTCCGGCCAGGAGAGCTGCAGGGGAGCAGCCACCGCCTCTCAGGCCCCTCATACCTCCTCACGACCGCTCAAGCTGAGGTGGGCTTTTTCTTCCTGAGCCTGCTCCAGGAGGCAGGGCCAGGTGTGGCATTTTTATTCCCATTTTTAATTTCTTTTTAATGTATTTGTTTTTGAGAGAGAGACAGAGCATGAGCGGGAGAGGAGCAGGGAGAGAGAGGGAGACACAGAATCTGAAGCAGGCTCCAGGCTCCCAGCTGTCAGCACAGAGCCTGTCGCAGGGCTCAAACCCACGAACTGCAAGAGATCACAACCTGAGCCGAAGTCAGACGCCCAACTGACTGCACCACCCAGGTGCCCCTTATTCCATTTTTAGAAGAAAAGCAATCACGCAGAAACGTATACAGGAATGTTCACAGCAGCATTTTTTATAATAGGCCCAAAGTGGAAACAACCCAAAAGTCCATCAACAGATGTATGGAGAAACACGATGTAGTATAGCCATAGATTGGAATATTACTCAGCCATGAAAAGGAATGAAATGCCAATTCCCGCTCCAACACGGACGAGACTGGAAACCATTACGCTACGTGGAAGAAGCCAGTCACAAAAGGCCACATTGCGTGATTCCATCCACGTGAAATGTCCAGAACTGACAGATCCACAGAGACAGAGAGCACATTAGTGGTTGCCAGGCCTGGGGGGGAAAGGGATAAAGGGGAGTAAATTCTTTTTTTTCTCATGTTTATCTATTTTGAGAGAGAGCGCGTGTGTGTGTGTGTGTGTGTGTGTGTGTGTGTGTGAGCGAGGGAGGGGCACAGAGAGAGAGAGAGAGAGAGAGAGAGAGAGAATCCTAAGCAGGTTTCATCCTGTGAGCCTGGAGCCTGACTCGGGGCTTGATCTCATGAACCCATGGGATCATGACCTGAGCTGAAATCCAAAGTCAGACACTTAACCGACTGAGTCACCCCGGTGCCCCAAGGGGGAGTAAATTTTAATGGGTGCCAAGTTTCTTTCTAGGGTGATGAAAATGTCTTCAAACCCACTGTGGCATTGTTGCACAACTCTGAGTATACTAAAAACCACTGACTTGTCTACCTTAAACAGTTGAATTATATGGTATGTGAATTATATTGCAATTAAGCTGTTATCAAAAAGGAAAGCAGGCAGCAAATCTACCCAAGATGCCACCGCCGGGAAAGCAAGAGGCATCGGGCCCTACAGCTCACTCCAGGGTGCCTCCCTCCCCCGCGATGTGGGCACGGAGGGCAGGTGGACAGAAGTTCTGCTTCCTTCTCTCCAGGACGCAGGGCGGGCCTACCCACTGCACAGTTTTCCCAGGGCTGGTATTGTGCTTGGCGGTGACAGCCGGTGCTGGGAGGTCTTGGGGGGGAGGGGCACAGGCAGCCCACAGTGGTTTCCAGGGAGACACAGCTGAGCTGGGCCCTGCTCCCGCCAGCCAGCCAGGCCTCCTAACCCAAAGCCTCTTTCAGGGAAGCAGGAAAGATGCATTGATGACTCAGGGTTAGGGTTGACAGCAGCCCCCCCTTCCTGGCCCTCCCCAGAATGGGTTCCCCATAATGGACCAGGCAGCAGGAGAGAAGTGGTTGGAATAAGAGCAATTACAGGTGCTCCTGCCCTCCAGCTCTGTAGGCCTGGCAGGGACTGCTCCCTGACCCTTGAACCCCATCCCACCCCAGTTGGCCACAGTTGGCCTTAGAGCAGGAGTTAGGGCTGGGGGGTGGTGACCGGGCAGCCTCCACAGTGCAGAGAGCACTGCTCTGCGGTCTCCCCTCACCTCCTTCCTCTTCTGGAAAACAAGAAGGCCTCCTCCAGAGGACACCGTGAGGCTGAGATGGGATGGGATGCGGGAAGAACTGGGTAGGTGCCGGGTAAGAGCTTGCTCCTCCCGGACAGAGGTGCTCAAATGGGCTTAGGACGAAGGAGGAGTGGGTAGAAGGAGAGACCCAGCCGAGCTGAGCCAAGCCCACCCTCACTCTCCTCTTCCCCGCTTCCCCAGAGAATTGCCCACCCACCAGGTGCCTGCCTTGCTTCTCCTTTTTCTTAAATTCCTGCAGCTGCCCGTTAAGGCGGCTGCGATCACTACTATGTTTTGCAGATGAAGAAACTGAGGCTCAGAGAGACTAAGTCACCCACTCAAGGCCACACAGCAATTAATGTCTGAGCCAGGACTTGAACCAAGGTAGTCTGGCTCTGGAGCCCTGCAGTGGGAAGTCAGGAATCCTGGGTTCAGGCCCTGCATTGCTACTGAGGGGCTGTGCGACCTTGGACAGCCTTCCCCTCTCTGGGCCAGACCAGGGAGAAGGAAAGAAGGGTATGCCTCCAGTGCAGACCCTCCAGTGCAGTGCCTCCAGAAGAAAGGAGGCAGAAAGGGGCAGGCAAAGGCCCAGCTTTTATCGTCTTGAGTGCTGCACACCATGCGAAAGTCTTTGAGGAGGCTGCTTTCCATTTCAAAATCTCCCAGTTGCCCTGAAAGGTTGGAATTACAATTGTTTCTATTTTACAGATGAGGAAACTGAGGCTTAGAGAGGCTCTAAGTGACTTGCCCAAGGTCACACAGCAGGGAAGTGACAGAGCCCAGGTTTGTCTGAAGGCGAACAGTTTTCTTCCTGTGAGCTTAAATTCTGTTCCTGGTTCAGCCAAAACGCGGCTGGAGTTTTACCAGAAGAACTTTCCCTGAGAAACTAAAGGGGAAGATAAACTCCAAAAGCAAAGAAACAGATGTGTTTGTAGAACATTCGTTTCGATACAGAGTTAAAGCCCAGCCCCCAAGGGACTCGGTATGTCTGGGAGCATCTCTTATGGAAACAATGCCCTTCACGATGAGCCGACGGACATTCAGAGGGCAGGTCAGGACCCGGACGGCCTGGGTTGGAACCCTGGGTCTGCAGTGACCCTCTCTCTCTCCGAGCCTCAGTTTCCTCCTCTGCCAGATGGGGCTAATAGCAGCACCTGTCTCGCTGGTGGGAGGAGCTGAGGAGCTGCTGTGTCAACGGTCCACCTGTGAGAGGGCATCTCCCTGTGCGCGCGTTTTGGCTCTGATCCTCCCGGCCAAGCTTGTCTTCATTTCCCTGCATGAAGGCCAAACCCCAGCAATTCTGCAGACAGAAGGACCAGGGGAGGTAAAGGCCAAACATCAGGGCTGTTCAGAGGTAACCTGAGGTGAGGCCCTGATACGGTGTCATGGGGCCGTGGGGCCATGGGCCGTGTGACAGTGACTCAGCCCTGTTAGCAGGTGACCGCCATCCTGGTGCTGGGGATCCTCCAAGTCTCAGGTACCCCAAAAAGAAGGGGGCAGGAAATGGCTACCAGAGTCCTCTCTTGACCATGAGAATCTCTCTTGTTCCGGGCAGATTAGGAAAAGCAAACTAGCTCAACCACCCAGGGCTATGTGATCTGGAGCAAGCACTTAACCCTCTCTGGGCCTCGTTTTTCCCCTCAGCTACTCGAATCATCACTGGTCCAGATGACTACTGAAGGTCAGTCCAGCTGTCCTCTGAGATTGTCAAAAACCCACGTATAACCGAAAGGAAACTGAATGCCAGGCATCGGAACAACAGACACGAGAGGAGACAGGCCCACCCTTCGAGGGCCCCCAGTCCAGTGGGAGGAACAGATTGACCAGAACACAGCGTGGGAAGTCCTAACATGACAAGAGGCGTGGCCACCATGTACTGATTGTTAGCCGCGTGCCAGTGGTGTGCCAAGTCCTTGGCCCCATTTCCTCAGGTAGACCCCACGACCCCCTGCCACGTGATAATTACATTATCCCCATTCTTTAGAAGAGTAAACAGGCCCAGAGAGGGGAAGTGCGGGGTCACACAGCAGGTCAGGAGCTGTGCTTCTGCACCTGGAGAGGTTGGGGGGCGCGTTATAGAAAGACCTCTGGGAGGTGGGGGGAGCTCCCTGACATTTCCTGCCCTCTCCTGGAGAAGGAAAAGCAGGGGCGCGGAAGAATTGGGGAGACAGGGCTTGGGGTTCTATTTCTGGCTTTGTGCTGACTCAGACCATGACCTTGGGTGAATCACTTGCCAACTCTGGCAAGCTTAAAAACAACTCCCCCGACAGAAGTGTCCCAGCCCCAAGTCCCTGGTATGGAGGAGCAGCCAGGGGGAGGAAAGGGTACAGTGGCTAAAAAGGGGAAGGACAGAGAACACAGGACGGCGATGGGAAGGCTTTCTGAACGTTGGGGTCTTGCCCATGGTGGGCCCAGGAGGGTGAGGAAACGGCTTCAGGACCAAGAGCCAGAAGCCAGCACTTCCCCGGCCACCCCCTCCCCCCAGCCACCAGACATTCCTTAAAATACATCAGTGCCAAAGCTGCTCCAGCAGCTGGAGGTGACCTAATTAAACCTCATTCTTTCCCCTCCTACAGTGTGTGTGTAAGGGGGTGAGGGGCTGCCCCAGCCAATACTCGAGCTTCATCGAGGCCTTTTGAACTCTCCTTGTCACGTGCCCCTGCGTCCCTGGGGGGCTGTTCTGATGAAGGCCTTTGGGCTTCCTTGGCATCGGTGGGGGTGAGTATGCCAAGATGGACGGCGCAAGAGCCGTGCTCACATCCCAGCTCTGCCGGGCTGTGTGACCCTGAGCGAGTCACTTCCCCACTCTGAACCCCCCTAGACAGAGGAAGGGGTTGGTCAAAGTCACACTGGTAGCTGAATTCAAATCAGTGTGACCCCAAAGCCCAGAGCTTTCCAACGTGCCGTGCCCCCACCCCCGTGACCACGATTCCACCGGCTTTGGAGCAGGGGAAAAGCACCCCTGCTACTTTCCGCTGCCTACCCTGCTGCACCACACAGACGAAGGTCTGAACTGTCCCAAGCCCCCTTCCCACCAGGCTCTGGGACTTGGCTGTGCTGGTGGTGACCCGTAGACGGGACCAGCTCCGCCAAGTCCTGAGCGCCCTCTGCTGGTGCCAATCTAGGGGACCTGCCTCCAGAGCAGCCTGTGGGTGTCCCCTTTCCACGGGCTGGCTGTATAAGACCCCCCTGTTCCTCCCTCCTGAGCCCCTCCACGGCCAGTGGGCATCCATGAACATAGCCAGGCCTGGGAGGGGACTCTGTGGCCCAAACTGTCCTTCGGCCTTTCCCAGGCCCTCGTGCAACCAGTTCCTACTTAGACCTTCTATTTTTTTGGAGTAGGGGGCAGACACATCCAGAGGGGTGGGGGCAGATACAGGAAACAGATGTTAGAAAGGACTTCAAGGAAACGGTGGGGGTAGGCGGAGGGAGTCTGGGTGAAGGAAACATCCAGAATTTGGAGGGCCCAGAGGCCTCTGGGATGGAGTCTGTTTGGGGGAGCCGGCTCCCCACCCTCCAGGGGGCTGGAGACTGCCCCATCCCATCGAGAGGCCTCTGCTGGAGCACATCCAGGTGGGCATGGTGCCAGGCTCTCAGAGAGGTTGCCCACCCCTCACCCCCCACCCGGGCACGCTTTCCTCCTCCCCTCCCCCAGCCCCAGCCGCTGCAGCAGTTCACACCGTATTTATTATTGTTCTCTCGCTCAGCGTCCCCCTCCCCTCTCCCTGGGAAGAGCCTGCAGGCTGGCAGCTTGGCAGGAACCTGCTGTCTCCCTTGCGGGTGCGAGCATCACCCCTTATCTCTGCCTGGACTCCCTGTGCCGGGGCAGGGGGCAGGCCACTCAGGGACGGGGCGTCCCACAGTGGGGGGGGGGGGGGGGAGGGGGCCAGCCCCTGGCTTATCATCCTAGCTCTCCAGGGACTGCACCCTGGCAAGAGTGGAGGTCAAAGCCGGACCTGCAAGCAGGGGAGAGGAGTGGCCTCAGGAGAGGAGAGGAGAGCTCTGGGTGGGGGTGGCTCTGAGGTGATAATAATTACATGGAGCCACCTCTCCAAGCCAATTAACACAATTATCCCCATCGCGTCTGGGAAGAAATAGAGTCAGGACAAGACAGCTGCTCCAGGTCCAACTGCCTGCCTGCCCTAGATGGTCCCTCCCAAGCCCCAGCCCCAAATTCCAGGGAGAAAGACCCATATGCTCCCTGCTGCATTCTCATTTTGGCAGGAGCACGATTATCTCCCCGGTCAGGGCTCTTCCCCTGGTTCTCAGACAGGAGGCTGCGGCTTGGCAGGTGTCTGCTGTTTCTCTGCCTCTTGAGCCAGACACAAGTCCCAGACACACACACACAGACACACACTCTCTCACAGGGAACCACACAGCCTCAGCTTCCCTTGGGGGCCAAGAGGAGGGAGGGAGGCAGGGGAGGAGGGAGGACAGGGTGGGCTCATCTACACATCCTCCTACGTCCCCGGAGTAAACTGGACTGGGCTGGGCCAGTCTCAGGGGAGGTAGCCACCTTCCCCGGCCCGCCACCTCGTGCCTCCCTGCTTCCCCCTGCCAAAGCCAGTTTCTGGAGCTGGTGTGCCCTCCTCCCCCAACCAGCCCCTTACCTCTCCCTGGCAGATGAGGTCCAGGCACTGCCTCCTGCCGCCGCCTTCAGCACTCTGCCTCTCTCGGGGCGCTTGGAGCTGGCCAGCAGGGGAGGGTCTGAAAGATGTGTTGTGTGTACGCCTGTGTGTGTGTGTGTGTGTGTGTGTGTGAGAGAGAGAGAGAGAGAGAGAGAGAGAGAGAGAGAGAGAGAATGCAGCACCTCAAGCCCCTCACTCACTCACTCACACACGCCCTCCTCCTGACGTCAGGAAGAGCGAGAGGGAGGGACTGGGTTGGGAGTTTGTACTCCCTGCTTAAAGGGACATGGGGCCCTGTTGCCTCTGGGCCAGACACCGCCTCCTGAGTCAGGCTCAGGCTGGGCGAGAGAGTTAGCTGCGTCTCTCAGGGCCCTAAAGCTTCTTTTTTTGGAAAGTGGCTTTTATTGCCAGGCCAGGGTATAATTTGCCCTGCCAGGTGGGAGTAGCTGCTGAGGAATGCAGGGGGAGAGTAGCTGGGGCAGCCTGCATTCCTGGCAATTAGAGAGCTAGTGGGTGGGAGTGCTTGTGTGTGTGTGTGTGTGTGTGTGTGTGTGTGTGTGTGCGCGCGCGCGCGCGTGCGCGCGCTGGGGGCTGTGGCGTGGGGGGTGAGGCTGGGAGAACTGAGGTCACAGCAGAGAGGAGCTCTCTCTGAGGATGCTCCAGACAAGAGTGCGATAAACCAGGTTTCCAGGGTCTCTCAGACCTTCCTCTACCCTCTGGTTCCTCAGTGTCCCCTGTCCTCCATTAACACTGACACTGTGCTCAGATCTGTCCTTCACTTGGCCGAAATCTTTGTGAATAAGGTACATGAACATTGGCAAGTCACAGAACTCATCTGTTTCTCTGGCCCCCAGTAGAAGACATTTGAATTGAATTGAATTGAATTGAATTGAATTGAATTGAATTGAATTGAAGAAGACCCTAAGGGAAGCGTAAGCTTGCTACAGGCACATACACACACACACCCACACTCCAGGCTGTACTGCTCCCCCTCCCTTCCCAGGCTCCCCCTCCCTTCCCAGGGCCCAAGTTTTAACTTCAGAGAGGCCCTGGGTGTGAATCTCCACTCCAGCACCTCAGGCTGTGTGCGTTTAGGAAAAACTTACTGATTCTGATCCTCCGCAGCCTTTCCGTAAAGTAGAGAAGAGAGGCCCTTTCTGAGAGGGTGGTGGTGCCAGTGCAGTACGTAGATAAGCCCCAGGCCCCACTGAAGAGGCTTCCACAAAGGGGTTTCTCTTCCTTCCCATCCTCTTTCCTCAGCCTTGGCTTAGAAGGAAGGCAGACTTTCCTGTATATATCCTTAGTCCTCCCGAGGCAGGCTGGCACTTTCAAAAGAAGTCTTATTGGGGCGCCTGGGCATCCAACTTCGGCTCAGGTCATGATCTCATGGTCCGTGAGTTGGAGCCCCGTGTCAGGCTCTGTGCTGACAGCTCAGAACCTGGATCCTGCTTGGGATTCTGTCTCCTTCTCCCTCTGCCCCTCCCCTGCTCACGTTCTGTCTCTGTCTCTCTTTCTGTCTCTGTCTCTCTCTCTCTAAAAAGTAAATAAAGGTTAAAATTTTTTTTTCAAAAGAAGTCTTATTAAAATTAAAAAGAGGAGGGTGTTAAAAGAAAACAATCCATAAAAATACAAATAATAGCAACAGCTCGTAAGACCCACTGAGGGCCGTGTGCCAGGCAACATGCTTTGCTACCATTCAAGGCTCACAAAAAGCCAGCCATTTATTATCATCATCCCTGTCTTGCTGGCGAGGACGTGAGGCTCAGACAGGACGGAATGGACTGTGTTCATTACCTGGTTAGAAGGATATTTGAATCCAGCGCTGTCCAAGGCCACCACACATCCCCACCCTTCCAGAATCAGGCTCAGACAGTCTAGGTTTCTGATTCCCCTGAGAGACGGTGATACATATTGTGCATCGTTACCTGAGGCCTGGGGTTCTGTTTCTATTCCACCACTAGGCTGGGGACCTTTCCGCTTAAACCTTTCTCTGCTTTCCTTGGTTTCCTCTCTTCCAAAGACCATAATAGTTTCCAAAGTACAAGCAAGGGCATCAGCTCACCTGCTGCTCACAGCAGCTCTGAGGTTTATTTGGATGAGGAAGCAGGCCGGGAGAGTTGGGGACTTCACTGAGTCACCGGCTGAGAAGCAGCAGAGTGACAGAACAGAGGCCTGAGCCCCAGGCTCTGGGCCCATGGTTCTCATGCCCCAAGAGAAGGGCTGGGGCCAGGGTGGATGCCTGCAATCTCCCCTGCCCACCACCCACCGTCCCTTCTGGAAGGAACAGCCTCCCTGCTTTCCAGTGGAGAATCCCCTCTCTGCTCTCCTGAGCCACAGGACCCCTGGCCCTGGCTGGCCCATCCGAACCAGAGTCAGGACTTGAGCTAGAAATTCAAGGACCAGGTCGGCTCTTCTCCCCATGACTCCTGAGTTGGCAGAGCTTTGGCCTTGGGCTGTTGGTGGCCTATGGATTACAAGACAGCGGGCCAACGGAGGGGAGTGGCCAGAGAGGACTTCTCTGAGGCAATGATATTTCTAGCAGAGCTCCAAGGGACAAGTAGCAGCCAGGCTCGCCCGAATCTAGAGAGAAGACACTGTGGGAAGAGGGAATGGTTGGTCAGAAGGTCCCCAGGTGGGTGTGAGCGTTGGTGCGCCCGAGGAACAGGAAGGAGGCTGGTGCGGCCAGAGGGGGTGAGGGAAGCAGGAGGTACAGTCTGACGCTGGAGGCCGGGAGCCGGGGCCCGGAAGGCCACTCGTGAGAGCCCAAGGCCTGGTCATTGTGGACAAGGCCAAGGCCAGGGCCACGGGCCTGAGCCTGACCCTCACTTCTTATCTAGCTTTTCCGGGAGGCCCCTCCCTGCCGGCTGACGAACACGTGCAGGGCTGGCTGCCAGGCAGCCGTGAATGAAGGAGGCTGGGCCGAGACTTGAAGTAATGTTATGATTATTCTCGACAACGAGGAGAGGGCACAGCTGTTCATTCAGGAAATGAGCAGCCCGTGGCACCACCCACCCACCCACCAGCAGCTGAGCAACAAAGAGATTGTCTGCTGGAAACCAGGGGCTCTGCCGGGGAGGCTATTTTTGTGAAAAGCTGAGAATTCAAAAGCTCATCTCCTCGAAAGCCTTCCTCACCTCAGAGAAGCTGAAACAAGTGGGTAGGAGCAGAGTAGCCCCGAGTCCTACTGACTCCATCCAACTCATAATTCCCACCCTGTTACCTGCAATCAGCCCACCAACGGGGGCCAGTCCTGGGCCTGCCTGGCCTTGAATCCACATACCGCTTTAAGATACGCTAAGATGGGGCGCCTGGGTGGCGCAGTCGGTTAAGCCTCCGACTTTCCTCCTGAGCCACAGGACCCCTCTGGGCTCCTGGCTGGCCCATCCCAACCAGAGTCAGGACTTGAGCTAGAAATTCAAGGACCAGGTCGCTCTTTCCCCATGACTCCTGAGCTGGCAGAGCTTTGGCCTTGGGCTGTTGGTGGCCTATGGATTACAAGACAGCGGGCCAATCTGGAGGGGAGGGCCAGAGATTTCTGAGGCAATGATATTTTCAGCAGAGCTCCAAGGACAAGTAGCAGCCAGGCTCCTCAGCCTCAATCTAGAGAGAAGGTCACTGTGGGAAGAGGAATGGCTGGTCGAAGGTCCCCAGGTGGGTGAGCACAGTGCCTGAGGAACAGGAAGGAGGCTGGTGCGCCAGAGGGGTGAGGAAGCAGGAGGGCACAGTCTGACGCTGGAGGTCGTGAGCCGGGGCCCGAAGGCCACTGGAGAGCCTGCTGCCTGGCTGGCTGACAAGGCTGCCAGGCCGGGCCCGGAGCCTGACCCCTCACTTCTTATCTAGCTTTTCCGGGAGGCCCCCTCCCCGCCGGCCGACGAACACGTGTGTAGGGCTGGCTGCTGGCAGCCGAATGAAGGAGGCTGGGCCGAGACTTGAAGTAATGTTATGTGATTATTCCCGACAACGAGGAGAGGGCACAAAATCATTCAGGGAATGAATGTGGCACCACTCCACCCACCAGCAGCTGAGCAACAAAGAGATTGTTCCATGGAAACCAGGGCTCTGTTGTGGGGAGGCTATTTTGTGAAAAGCTGAATCTGTAAAAGCTCATTCCCCTAAAAGCCTTCTCTCACCTCAGAGAAGCTGGAAACAAGTGGCAGGAGCAGAGTAGCCCCTGAGTCCTACTGACTCATCCAACTCATACCCCACCCTGTTACCTGCAATCAGCCCACACTCAACGGGGCCAAACAGTCCGCCTCCTGCCTGGCCTTGAATCCACATACCCCGCTTGCTTAAGATGGGCTTCTGGTGAAGTAGGCCTGCCATGGCTCTCCCGGTTTCAGCCAGGCTCGAACATCTCTCGCCGGGTCCGTGAGTTCGGTTCCCGCTGGCCAGGCTCTGGGCCGATGGTCGGAGCTTGGAGCCCGTTTCCCATGCTGTGTCTCCCTCTCTCTCTCAAGCCCCTCCCCTGTTCATGCTCTGTTTCTTTCCCTTGTCCCAAAAAATAAATAAAAAAACATTGAAAAAAAATTAAAAAAAGAGGAATGCCATGATGTTGGTGCCACTAGATGGATGTGGAAACTCAGGCACAGAGAGGTTAAGGAACTTGCCTAGCATCACACAGCTGGTAATGGGGCTGGGATTAAAACTCAGGAGTTCTCTGCCAGCTTGGGTGGCTCATGCATACATGTCGGTTGAGCTGCCCCAACTTCAGCTCAGGTCATGATCTCGCGGAGCTCAAGATCGGGCTCTCTGTGCTGACAGCTCAGAGCCTGGAGCCTGCTCTAGATTCTGTGCCTCCCTCTCTCTCTGTCCCAACCCACCTCGTGATTCTCTGTCTCTCTGTCTCTCTCAAAAATAAATAAACATTAAAAAAAAATAAAAAAAAAAACCTCAGGAGTTCTGGCTTCATTATACTTTTTTTTTTTTAAGTATATTTATTTATTTTGAGAGAGAGTAGGATTGGTGAAAATATGAAGAGGAACCATGTAGGCTCCACATCATTTGTAGTAGAGTTCCGGAATGGGGTTTTAACCCATCAAAACCATGAGAACATGA